ACGTCAGCTTATTTTACGGCGCATTTGACGATGGCGTGCGACAGTATCTTACCCAGTTTATGGCAGGCAAGTTAAATACAACTCATTTTTTCTCCATATAGCTAGTATGGAAGATATATTTTTAAACTTTCATGGATCTTTCAACGTTATGAAATATTTTGACGTGAGTCGTGTGTGATTTTAGCTTGAGTGTTGTCTTTTGATATATTTAGCCCTTGTTTACCTTTTTCGAAAACCATAACATTCTCGATTTTATGTTGTTATGTAACAGGGCCAAATAGAAACAACGCGTTGAAAGCTTGTTGTGGAATCGGAGGGAAATACAATTTCAACAGCAAAAGGTTTTGTGGGAGTCGAGGTGTGCCTGTCTGTCATGATCCGGACAATTACATATTCTGGGATGGCTTGCATTTGACGCAAGAGGCCTCCCATCGTATCGAGTCGATTCTCATCCAACCGGCTCTCTCGACGCTCAACTGTGCATCCTAACTCTGCATGGGCTTATGATTTTTGCATATTTAACCAAGGTTAAATATGCATTATACATCGATTATCAAATGTTAATTAAAGTATCAATTTCTACATGTTGGAATTTCTAATAAGTAAATGAAGTTTGTAATATATTTTCTGTTTATCATGATTTGTTGGGGCCATGGCTCAAGATTTTATTCTCAATCCTAAGTATGACAGAATGTTTGATTATGAAGCAAATTGTAATCAAATGATTTCAATTTATATGAATGTGTTTCAAGGATGGCTTCTTATAGGTGTTTATTTCTTATATTCTATCTCCAAGTGAACAATATATATGTTGGAAAATAATATTTTTCATGTTTCTAAAATACACTAGTTAGAGACATAATGTTAGGTAACATAAGGATATTGGAAGAATAATATTTTTTTCTAACAGATATTCATACTTTCACATTGAAAGGATATTGAAGTAATAGTACTTTTTCTAATAAATAATCATATTTTCAAATTGAGATATTAATATTTAAAAAAATAAAATAAAGAAAAGTATGCCATTTCATAAAATAAGCATGCATTTGGGTTAAAAAAAAATAGAAAAGGATTATATTGGAGACTCGAGCCACAAAATGGGGAATTGTTTTGTCAGTTTTATATACTTTGGAGTTCGAGGCGAATATTTGTGATTTGATATGTCATTCGAGTGTGAGAGAGTTAAGTGTGAGAGAGTTGTTTCATGTTTTTGTTGTTATTTTATATACTTTTGAGTGTTTAATTTGTGATCGATTTAGTTTATTTTAGGTTATTCTAAGTTTATTTACTCATTTTTACTCATTTTTGTGCTTTTATGTCGATTTGATGTCTTGCGCCTTTTATTTCTCTTCGTTATCTTTTATTTGTAGGAAAATGCACTCCGAAGACATGCTTGACGCCGCCGAAAAAGTGCCGGAATACTTGGCGAAAAATTCATCGAAAAATTTCTGAGTAATCGGCGCGGTCAAAGTTTGGTGGACACGCAGAACAGCCCATGCAAAGCCCGTGCACGCAACTGCGGCCCAGCCCTCGTCAATTCCCAGACATGCCCGCGCTCGCCCACACGGTGCCGAGGACGCCAGCCACACGTTGCTGGTCGTCACCCGTGCATCTCCCCGAGACCTCGTGCGACGTCGTCGATGCTCGCTCGTTGTTTATTGTGTTTTTCTTTTGTTATTTTCGTGTGTTTTATGTGCTTTATTTTATAGTTTTATGCTCGTTTTAGTGTCGACCGGTCCATTTTATCATGTTCTGTGTATTTTTGTTATTGTATAGTGTTTTCGTATTTTTGCGCGTTTTCTCTTTTGTTTTGGTGTTGAATAGGTCCAACTTGTCGAGAACAAGGAGATGAGCCGTCCAACCTAGAAAATCCGACCAAGCCATAACGGGATGAAGATAATTCAATGAGAAGAATTTTGGTCCAAATTTCGTGCGAATTAGAGTTGTGTGCGAAAAGTTAGAGCCATTCGAGCATCAAGAGGTCACCGGGACCATTCCCATGCACTTGCTTGCGCCCGGAGCACGCCCGCGCCGCGCCTGCACGCCGCAGCACGCCCGCGAGCTTGTGGAAACTCCCGCGACCTCGAGAGTGCGCCCCACTCCATGCCTGCGAGCTCGTAGAAAATTCCGTGACGTCGAGAGTGTCTTGCCCGCACCCGCGCCCATGCCTTGCTAGCGCACGCCAGCGCGCTCGCGAATCCTTCAGCGCCATCGAGAGTGCTTTGCCCGTGCGCCCCTGTGCCATATGCTGCCCCCGAGCTCGCGAATTTCACGGAGACCTCGAGAGTGTTTTACTTAATGTGCATGTTTTTAGTGTGTGTTTGTGGTGTAGTTATAAATAGACATTGTTCTTTGTATTTTTGGACATAACCCTCATTTTCCAACTTTTAAGTTGAGAAAATCCTCTCAATTTTCTTTTTTTCTTTTTTATGTTTTGGTTTGGAGCTTATGAATCAAGTTTTCTGGCAAATTTCCGGCGACATTGTTTCGAGTAAAGTTTCGAGCTTTTGACTCTGTGTCTCTTTCCAAGTGCGTGTGAGAGTGGGTACTTAGTATTAAGCTCCATTACTTCGTATATCTTTGTTTTCTTTTTGTGAAAATTGATATTGTGCTTGTGTTGCTTGGAGGAAAAGATTGAATCTTTAGATCGTTAATGCTTGACTAAGTGTGATTAGAGTTAAATGCTTGCTCGTCTTGTGCTAGAGTTTGATTTAGCTACCTAGAGTTTTAGCTCGCATGGCAATGTTCATTTTTTTTGTGCGTGTTTGATCATAGAGACTCCGGCGAACCAAAATCTCTCTTTTCCCCTTGATTTCTCTCATCTTCTTGCGTGTTTTCTCTTGCCTTGTTTATTGCTTTCGATTGCCCTCAATTTCGCAGATTAGTTTAGCTTAAATTCAACCCCTGAAGCGAGTAGCATGTTTAGGACCTTTTCAGTTGTGTGATTTGGCAACTAGATAGTGAACGAAGCTCCGAAGAGCCTTCCTTTGAGAACGACCCGAGTCCGGGTAACTCCATTACCAATTGCCCAAAATACTACAAACACTCGTCCAGTCGCAAGCATCGCCCAGACCTCGCCAAGGAAGTCCCACACAGCGCCCACTGCCTAGTGCCCCAACGCAGGCATCTGCCTGAGTC